TTTTTTTGTTCTTTTACAGGTGTATCAGAGATCCGAAGAATAGGGAAGGAAGTAATGGAGGGAGCGTGCAAGCGGGTGGCAGAGAGGTTTAGAAATTGCGTGTTCGAGAGACGGTTTAACGAGAGGCAAGACGAACTTTGCCGTGCGCTTGTGGATGTGAAGGAGCTGTGTGAGGCTCTGGACGAAGATAGCAGTGATTGGCTGGCGCGGGCCAGGCTCGAACGTGACGAGTCGTCTCTTTTACTGGCCAAGTCCTTGGGCGATTGGAGAAAAGTCCTTGACTCGAAATTCTTGCCCTGGATTTGTTGCCCGGATGAGGTCTACAAACTGAGGATGTTCCAAGGTATTGCATTGAGGCTCGAGAAGCAGCAACTGACGACCATCTCCCCACAAGTGCGCAAAAGCATTATCAATTTTCTGGAGAAAGTTAAGCTCAGGCTGTTTAAATTATTCAACAGGACCTTGATGGTTGGCCCACCTCATGTCAGGGAGGTGCGCTTTCGAAACGATGTTGACTTATATGATTTACATAACTTTGCGCGTGTGTCTGCGTGTGTTTTGGTGGGTACTTATATGATTCTTTATAATTTTCTTTGTGTGTTGATGTGAAGGTTGTGAGCAGAATGAGTGATGTTCCGCTTGTTGAGTTGTCCTCTTCCACTGGTTATTTAAAAAAAGAAGCCTGCCGCCTGACGAAGAAGAGGCTGGTGGGCCTCGACAGCACAATCGATGGAATCTTTGAAGCTTTAGCAGGATCGGGCCGAGCAGGGCCTAGGCCCAGGGGTTTATTCCTCCTCGTGGGCCAAAGTGGGTCCGGCATCACAGAGATTGCCAAGGCCGTTGCACAACATTGGTATGGAGACGCGAGCAGGCTTGTGGAGATTGAGATGTGCAAGTATTACGATGGAAACCCCTGTAGAATGGCAACAAGGGATCCCGAGTCGTGGCCAAGGCACTGGATAAGGATTGCTTCTTACAATAAAAAAATTATTTGTAATATATACATGTATTCTTTTTGGATTTACGTCGCCATCTTTGTGTGTTTTGTAGAACCAAGGCAAACCTCGAGCTTTTCTGGAACTGTCTCTCGGAGATCGTGAGGAAACGGCCCTATTCTGTGATTCTTCTGGATGGAATATATAGCGCGGGCTTTTGTGTTAAGAGACTACTCCATGTTTTACATGGTGATGCACCAAATGAATCCTCCGGAGTTGATTTTTCCAAGTGTATTATTTTCTTGGCAGCAAGACGGGGCCGTGCTGGGCTTAAGTTGAACTGTACATGTTTCGGTAAAAGACCACAACTCGAGGAGGCATTCGAGCGCGATCCAACAGGATTCGAGAGGGCCCACGACTGTTTGCCGAAAATTTTGGAAGATGCTCTGTCCATTGTATGTACTAATTTGTTTTATTCTTGGGTTGTTTTCCACATGCATTGTAATGGACTTATTATTTTGCAGGGAAGACGTTTAACTGGGTCCGAGCTGTTTGATTCTATGGTGGATAAAGCTTTTGCTGTGGATGTTAGGCACAATGAGAAGGCTGTTTGTAGAATGCTTCTTAGGGAGATGGTTAGAGAAGTTGGTGAGGGAAGGATTCTCGTGCATATCTCAGATGCTGCTTTGAACGCCATGCTTTGGAATTCACGTGCTAGTTTTGTAAGTAGACTGCTTTGATTTCATTTTATTGTTGATTTGTTTTCATTCAGTCTATCATTTTGCTCTTCAATACAATTTTGGCAGTCGTTATCAACTCCTGGAAAGGCTTTGAAAGAAACGTTGGTTGAAGAGGTCCGGCCACAGTTGGTGGCAGCCAGAGGTTGTTATAATAGCAATGTTATTGTATATATCGACACTCTGATTGGAACTGGCGAGCTGTCGTTTAGATTTGAAGAGAACAAACGAGACCTAGCCGATTGCTACTTCAAGCACAAGGACGGGACATTTGTCAGCGTGGTGGCCAATTTGAGGCTAAAACTGGAGTCAGCCTGCAAATTGTTTGAGTTGCGCAAACAGATTATGTGTCATTTGAGTCCAACCAATGGAGACAGTGTACTGTTGGGGAGGTCCCTGCTGTACATGTGCAAATATCTCTCAAATTTTTCTCCTTTGTCTCCGAGCTTGGAGGTACCTTTTCTTATTTCAAATTTCTTTGCATTTTTATTTTTATATACTCAATTTCACGCACGGCCACTCATAGGAGGGAGTCACAACAAGAGGAATACCAGTGACAATATCTAATACGGGTGAAGAGAAGTTGAAGTTGAAGGATATAGTGATGATGAGTTTCTTAGCAAAAGCCGATACAAGTCCTGCTGAAGCAGTTACCCGGGTCATAATCGATGCCATATCCAAGATGTTTGATGCTCCACTGGAAGATTATAATCGGAGTCACCTAATTTTATGCCCGCACGCTTATGATGCTAAGAGGCAACTGATTTTATGTCTGAGCGAATTCCTCAAGTCGAATTTCACGCATGTCAATCTAAAAAATAACATGAACAACAGCGGCCATCAAATCAAGAAATTGCTGATGGAGGGTGTGAAGGAGAGGCTTTTTGCTGTTTTCATGCTCGATGGAGTTGAGGATTTGGATGATGTCCTCTACAGGAGCCTTCTCGAGATTCTTGATAAGGGTGAACTCGTTGATGACAGTGGTCAACCTGTTGACTTCCGGAGAGCTATCTTTATCCTCGCGTCAGAGGCTGCCAACAGGCAGGCAATTGCTGGCTTCTTTGATTCCCCACCGCGTGATGAGGATACTGATACTAATCAGGTAGTGAATTGAAGTGAAATTTAGTACTAACTAGTTACAATTTGTTAATTGTGCTCATCATCAATTAACTCACTCTCTACTTGGCAGAAAAATACGAAACGAGGTCGATCTGAGCTGCTTCCTTGGGTTGCGATGAATAGGCAACCTCCAGAGAAGGTAACTAAGATCTCGATAATTGCCTCACATATTGATAATCTCAATAATCTCGATAATCTCGCTCTCAAACTCAATTGTCTGCTTGACAGAGACGTAAAGTGGAGTCGCTTGCCCGGGTTGAAATAGTTCCCCGCCATGTTATTAAGGTAAAGAATATGTAATGACTGATCTTGAAAGATAATAGAGATATAAACAAGGGTTTTTTATTTTTTTTTATATTCCAGAGATTTGTCAAGCTCATCATGTTAACTTAATTTTTTTCTTTTATGCGGCATGGCAGGAAGTGAAACACTTTAGAACGGAATTGCTTAACCGAGTGGGTGAAATAATTCTTTTTAGCCCGACAAGTTCACACAAACAAGGAGACATGCGCCGGCTTTCTAAATGCAACAGCTTCATCAAATGCTCCGCAACTAAAGCTGTATCGGTTTCGAGCATCATTAAATTGTTCCAATGTGGCGGTAAGGCGTTTCGATTCATATCACCTAAATGCTTAATCCTATGCTGTTAGCTGTTGCTGTGTATCTTGTTTTGTCCTATCATTTTTAATTTTTTTTTTTTT